CTGATCTTTCTTGGCTATCTGCTTGCTTATGACTTCAACCAATTTCCCCTGCTAGCACCCTGCTCAGATACTGCCTTCCTGTCTACATGGCATTAAGAGTCCTCTTTAAAAAGGAAATTACTGGAGGAGGAGGAGGAGGATCACCTTAATTGGCAGTTCATTATTCAGCAGAAAGACCCAAAAAGAAAGACCGGGCGGGAGGATAAAGGATTGGGGTTTGGGCATGGAAGGTAAGCAAGATGGAGGAGATGGGGACAGGAGGAAGAGAAGGAGGAAAGAAGGAGGGTTGGTGAAGGCCAAACGATTTCCTTTGAAAAGGATACACATGATTACAGGAAAGCTGGTAGGTGTTCTCAATGAGCCCTTCTTCATCAAGCTCCACAATGATCTTCTGCCCACAGACCGCACAGATATTGTCTGATAAGCTCCTTGTAGGCAACCCGCTGACACTGTAGAACTATCAGAGGAAATGGACAGAGCACAGTCGGAAAGGAGAGCACATGCCACTCTCTGAATGCCAGGCACTGGGACAGGCAGCCCTTCGCACATAGAATCTCCACTGTGGCCAGGCATGGTGGCCCATGCGTGTAATCCCAGCACTTTGGGAGGCTGAGGCAGGTAGATCACAAGGCCAGGAGTTCGAGACCAGCCTGGCCAACATGGTGAAACCCTCTCTCTACTAAAAATACAAAAAAATTAGCCAGGTGCAGTGGTGGGCGCCTGTAATCCCAGCTACTCGGGAGGCTGAGTCAGGAGAATTGGTTGAACCCAGGAGGCGGAGGTTGCAGTAAGCCGAGATTGCACCACTGCACTCTAGCCTGGGTGGCAGAGCAAGACTCTATCTCAAAAAAAAAAAAAAAAAAAAAAAAAAGAATCTCCACTGCTTCTAAGATGGTTTAGAATGTGAAACACCGTTTCCTGTAAGAAGAATGCTACAGAGGGGTTAAGGTTTCCAGGCAAAAACCCATTGAATTCCAAATGGACCCAAAGCACATGGCCAATTATAACCTCTCATCTAACCTCCACATTGAGGAATCCTTTCACAGGAATCATTTTTATCCAGGGCTGGAGTTAAGAGGAAGCTTCAGAGGAAGCCTTTGAGTTAATCCATAGATTGGCCCTTCCCTTTATTGTCCTGGAGATTCTGACTCAGATCTCTGGAGTAAACCTAGGCATCTCTCTGTCATTTAAATCCCCATGTTTTTATTGGATGCACGCTGAGTAATCACCATTGGAAGGCAATGCATTTAGAACTTCACCTTGGGATATCTGCATCTTCCCGTACTGTGGATAAGGAGTGGTTCTCAATATTGGCAGCATATTAGAATCCCTAAGAAGTTTTTTTTTTTTTTTCCCCCAAAGAAAATTATTTTATAATAGTTTTAGGTTTAAAGAAAAGATACAAAAATAGTACAGAGATTGGCTATATACCACATATCTAGTTTCCCTATATTATTATTAGATTGATTTTAAGGAATTGGCCCACACATTTGTGGGCAAGTCAGAAATTTGCAGGGCAGGTTGGCAGGCCAGCAGGCTGGAAACTCTGGCAAGATTGATGTTGCAGTCTTGAGGCAGAATTTCTTTTTCTCTAGGAAGCCTCAGTTTTTGCTTTTAAGGCCTTTGACTGATTGGCTGAGGTCTATGTGGAATATTAAGGGTAATCTCCTTCACGTAAAGTCAATTGATTACAGATATTAATCATATCTGCAAAATATCTTTGCATCAGCATCTAGACTAGTGATTTTACCAAACAAATGAGTATCATAGCATAGGCAAATTGACTCTAAAATTTAATCATCACAACCTCTTTAAGGGAGGAGAATTTATATAAATTATGTGGAATTCTTCTGCACAGATTTGACTATTCTCTTCCACTTATTTATTCAGTCATTTATTGATATCAGTGTGGACTCATGGATATTTTATGCTTTGGGTTATAATCCAATACTACTACTATTACTATTTTGTTGCTCAAATTTCAGCTTTGGCCATTGGGAGCACTTTCAGTTGGCTCCTGTGTCTCTTTGATATATCCCCAATCACTGTGGAGTTCTTTTGTTTTGTTTTTAGCATTTTCTTGCTTTTGGTCACTATGAGACGCTCCAGGCTTATACTGTGTATTCTTCACTCAGACCTATAATCAGCCATTTCTTCAAGGAGCCCCAGTTCCTTTTATTGTAAAATGATATTAGAAAACAAGATCTAGACACTCTGTATGTTCACTGTTGCTGGGGTGTCATCGTCCCTAGGACCTCTTAGCTGACAGAGCAAGGAATTCATCTGTACATACTAACACACATACACACACACACACACAGATACACACACACACATATCTGTAAATATTTCTGTATGTATCCATGTATATCTATATTAAGCTAAACAATTACAATTACAGAATACATGTATGGTGGTATCAAAATTGTTAACCTATAGCCTTGTCAGCAACAACTTTATGAACTAGAGTACAGTGCTTATGACACAGTTTCTTTTGTTTTTAGTCTTATGATCTCCATTCATTTCAAAGTTACTTAGGTCAGCACCTTTTTTTCCCACCCCTTTCAATGAGGTTATTTCACACATTTTTAATATGGTTAGATTCTTTTGGCATGATCTGAATTCTATCCTTGGATTCTCTGACTTCCTAAATTATTTTTTAAATTTTCATAAATTTAAGGTTCACACTTTCTATGGATTTTGACAAATGTATAGTTGTTATGTATCCACCATTATCGCATCACACAGAAGAGTTTCACCACTCTAAATTTCCTGTGCTTCACCTATTCAACCATGCTCCTTCCCTAAAGCCTTGGCAACCACGGATCTGTTCAGCAACTCTATAGTTGCACCTTTTCTAAAATGTCATATAGGATGCAGTCGTACAGGATGCAGTCACACAGGACGGAGCCTTTTCAGACTGGCTTCTCTCACTCAGCAACATGCGTTTAAGATTCACCCCATGGTTTGGATGGCTTAATAGCTCATTCCTTTTCCTAAGGACTTTTTTTTTTTTTTTTTTGGAAGCAGATGTACTGGTTCTACTCCCAGAGATTCTGACTTACTTGCTCTGGTGTGGGGCTTAGGCACTGATATGGGAATGGAGATTGTATCTCCTTACCTCAGTCACAAGAACATGCGCAAGTGTCTGTGGACACACAAGCGCGTGCGCGCGCATGCACACGCGTGCACACATACATACACACAATCCCTCATCAATCCAAGTCACTGGTGGCCATACCCATGGCTTGAGGCAGTGGTTTTTGTAGATTTGGTAGCTGGAATAAACAGACAGGATGACAAGATGTTAAGAACTGGTTGGGTTGGATCAGGTGAGAAGTTTCCCAAAAGCTGGTGCTTACAGACTTGGTTGTCTTGCCAGGTACAGTCTCTTCTTCCTGGTCCACTTGAGAACAGCCACATATAATTCTAATCTTCCTTTTCTGTCCATAAACACAAGAGACTTTGGGAATTTTCCAAGGAGTATAACTTCTGTTTTTTGTTGGAGAAACTGGGAATAAAAATGCTCCTTCCTGTGCTCACATTAAACCTTATAAGAAAGGCAGTTGTATTGTTCCAGCATTTCACCACAGAATTTGGGTTGCAGGCTTTAGGAAAAGAGTAAGATAGAGCCTATGGTGGAGGGGAAGGACAAATGCTGTGGGGAGGAAGTCAAGGTCATAGCCACTTAGGTCCTGCTCCAGAAATGGACGGAACACTCTAAAAGTTCACCCTTTTCTTACTACTTACGTTTTTTTTTCTCTTTTTAAAAAAATTTAATTTAATTTAAAGTTCTAGGATACATGTGCAGGTTTGTTGCATAGGCAAATGTGTGCCATGGTGGTTTGCTGCACCTATCAACCCATCAGCTAGGTATTAAGACCCACATGCCTTAGCTGTTTTTCCTGATGCTCTCCCTCCTGCTCCCCTGACAGGCCTCAGTGTGTGTTATTCCCGTCCCTGTGTCCATCTGTTCTCATTGTTCAGCTCCCATGTACACGTGAGAACAGGCAGTGTTCGGTTTTCTGGTCCTGTGTTAGTTTGCTGAGGATAATGGCTTCTAGCTCCAACCATGTCCTCACAAAGGACATGATCTCATTCCTTTTTATGGCTGCATAGTATTCCATGGTGTATATGCACCACACTTTCTTTATCCAGTCTATCATTGATGGGCATTTGGGTTGTTTCCATGTCTTTGCTTTACACTCATTTTCTACTTCACATCTGGCTGTGTACCAGGAGACACACATAGAGGACAGAGATGTGGAATTCTTGAAACTACTAAGTCATCCCTAGAGCTCTTAGTTTGTAAGTTTTTAGGAGATATGCATGAGTCAGACACAGATAAATGCCCTTGATATCTGAATCAGGAATACATCTAACTAGAAAGTATGTCCATTCTGAATTTTAATCTTAAAAGAGTTCAAAAAAAGAAAAGAGAAACAACTGCTAGAGATTAAAAAAATTCTAGGCAATAGTATAGAGTCAGAATACAACTAGCACACTTTTTATATCTTGTACTTCTATGCTATATAATGCAACTGGTATTTATGATAAGTATTACCCAGAGGCACTGTTGATTCTGAACTGTTTTATGCAGCATCAAATGTAATTTTTATTTGCATTAGACAGTGTTTCAGACAGAGCTAAAAGGTTTTAGTTATTGTTAATGTTTTACTAATCCTTAAATGTTGGCAATTGGAGTGTGCTAGATACAATAACACAAATAATTTGCATATTTTGTTTTAAAAGATGCCTTATTCCACAAGTATCCTATATACATAAGACATGTATTTTCCAATTAATTAACAGAGACGATGTTTTGATGCAAGGAGAATTCAGGGAACAACTGGGCTAAGTGAACCAAAATAGTTCCAAAGGAAACGATAATCAGTATATGGAGAAAGACTTATTTATTTCTGAAAATGGATGCGACATGTAAGATGAGACCATTTCTCCATGTGTCATAAATGGTTTCAGAAAATGAAAGCAACACTTACCCCTATAGTGGAAGCCATGTAGTCTGAGCAGATCTCGGCAAAGTCTCTCCCCATTACTCCATAGTAGAGGCCGTAGAACAAAGACACAATGCCAAAATCCATGGAATCTCTAGCTTTGATTCTGTTGAAAGCAACAGTATAAGGAAATAAGAATGTGGCATATTTCAAAACAGCTGGAGTTTGGAAAATATTTCCTGTTGACAGTATCTAAGAGAACCTTGTGAGTATTTTTTTTTCATTTTTTTGTTTGATTTTTCTTTTTTTAAATGAAATAATTTAAAATTCTCTAAATTTCCCTCAAATTGTAGCACTCAGTGCCAACTGGACAAAGGAATTCTTGAGACAGCCTTCAAGTGCTTCTTAGGACTACAGTGCCTAGACAAGCTGACTCTGACCAGTGGTTTCAGGCTCAACTACAGGTAGGCCTCAGCAGCTTGTAACAGTTTCCATCTCCAGGCCACACCCCAGGTAACTCCAATGGGTAGATAACATTAAAAAGCACTAGAGCAATAGTTCTCAGCCCTAAACATAGATTAGAATCACCCGGGAAAATTTAAAAGTGCATTGACACATGGGCCCACCACCAAGGACTGGAGTTTAGTTGATCTGGGTTGGGGTCTGGACAGCAGTATTTTTGAAGAGCTTGTCAGTGATTGATTCTTTAATACAGCAAAGTATGTCTTTAATACATACTCAAGTATGTCTGCTGTATAACTTAGATTTTTGTAGAATGCTTTCCAATGATCTTTCCTAACAAGTGCTTGAGATAGATATTATCACCCCCACTTTGCATGTGAAAACATGGAGACTTAGAAAACATTATTTGCTTGACACAACAATTGGTACATCACAAAACCACAAATCAAGCTCATATCTTGAAGCCCTTGATTACCATGCCAGAGTTGCTATGTATTAACTGAAAAAAACTTTTTGCAAGTTAAATCACATTTCAATTATACCAGGATTCTTTGTGATCATCCCCCCACCCAGTTTTTTTTTTCTCTTAATGGAAAGATCTCTTTTAAAAGTGAATAATGTGCCCTAAATTTAATTTGTGAATCTAAATAACTGCACATTTGTTTTGCTCTATCTATAAAACAATCTCAAATACCAGCAGTGAGCCTTGGTGGTTCTGATTGATTCAGGGAAGGGAGGAAAGTGTGGACAAGAGTTGGGTAGTCTGTCTCTAAAACCTATTTCTGTTTTCTGTTCATTGCAGGAAGAAATGGTGAAGGCAGACAGCTTTGTAGATTTAGAAAGTACAGATTTTTGGGTGATATGAACTGAGGCTTCCAACACATGTGGTAGCTTCATCCTTTCAGGATTTGTCTGGGTATATCTGAGAATTAGGACAGTAGGGGACATGAGGAGTATCTTCCCTCCACGTCCAGGGAAATATGTATTTATAATTTTATTGATAAAAAGTACAGTAACACACTTGTGGCCCTAGGAAAAAAGCTTAATACAATGATAATCATCAGGTAGTGAAAACAAAATAGTTACTTTTCTGAAGGGTTAAGTTTTTGGTATGCCTTACTGTAGGAAAATTCATGAATGAGGATCTTGAAATCTTATGAGGTAATAGTCTTAGAACAGCTATTGTTCCTAGTGATTTCAAAAAAATTCTTATGAGTATTTTTATGTTCACTAAAATAAACCAGTATAGAGAGTATGTTAAAAAAGATATTACAGTGTCTTTCTATATCCTAGCCTAGCAATAATAGATCTGTACAATTACTTTCTACCCCTTTTCTGCTAGAAAATGTTAGATGCTCCCGCTCTGAAAGTTTTATGAAATGCTTATAAAATCAGATTGCTATATTGCCCTAGGAAGAGCCCTTTCACCCAGGGCTGACTCTCCCTCCAACTGCCTTCCCTATTTTCTGAGTAAAGGGTTGATGATCTCTCCTTTTCAGTTTCTGTTATGGTCCCAGAAGTTTAGAGTAACTTTGATGTGAGAGCTATTCTGGGGGATTTGTATTTGAGCTGCTTTCCATAGGTATGCTTTGCATACCATAGTGTGGTATGTCTTCAATCCCCTTTCCAGGACACAGGCTGGTTACTCAGCCTCAGTTGTGCCCCTGAGAAGGCCATCCACAGCATGTCTCAGCAACCACCTTAAGTGGGAGCACAGCTCTAGTCAAGGGTTATCCCAACTTCCTTTATCTCTCCCTAGACTTTCTTGCTCTTTTATACCTTTACTTCTCTTTCAATTTCTTTTTTAAAATTCCCCATCTATTAAACAATAGATATTGACATGTTTTCTATCCTTCAAATCTTTTTTATTTGTTTATTTGGTTTCCCAGCTTATTTTTTTTCCAATTAAAATTATTTTTGAGACAAGGTCTGGCCATGTTGCCCAGGCTGGTCTTGAACTCCTGGCATCAAGCAATCCTCCCACCTCTGCCTCCCAAGTAGCTAGGATTACAGGCACGAGCCACGGCACCCAGCCTCTTGCAATTTCTAAGCATTCACTTTTCCTCCTTTTCCAAGTATCCCTAACACAAGGCATTTCATGACTATCAGAAACCAAATTCAAGAGAGCAGTACTGTCCAATGGAAATACAGTCACAAATATAATTTTAAATTTTCTGTAGGTGCATTTAATATGTCAAACAACAACAACAACAAAAAAAAGGTGAAATTAATCTCACTGATACATTTAAATTCTATCATTTAAAAATGTAATTGATATAAAAATGTTTTTTATGTAAGTCTTTGAAATTCAGTATGTATTTTACACTTAGAATACATCTTATTTCATATTTTAGGTGTTCATTAGTCACATGAGCTAGTGGCTACTATATTGGACAACATAATTCTAGAGGTTTTAGATAAGAAGATATATATAAAAGGAGATCTAGGTACTTGAGAATTTCGTAGAAGAGAAATGAGTTTAGTAAGAATTACTCTAGCACAATTGTAGGTCCACTGTTAATAGTAGTCTTTTAAATTTGCAGACCAAATATAAATTCTCCTTAAAGCTCCTAATTTTAAAAAATTATTTTGTAGGGTGCTTCTTTCTTCCCTTTCTATTGGTTTTCCCCAGACAAGACTATGTGTGGATATGTACTATAAAACATGTGTGCATGGAAAATTGTAGGGCCAGATGCTTCCGGATTAAGAGAACATGACCAGGTGAGTGTGCCACGCAAGTGCCTGGAGATATTAATGTCTTAATAGGAGATACTTACTTGAAAAACAGATTGAATCCACACATTGTAAACATGATAGCCAAGTAACCCACAACACCAAATGCATAGCTGAGTTTGTAGATCAAAAGAAACCATTTGTAGACCAACCTGTGGAGTGAAAAATGGGGAGAAACACAGAACGTGGTATTATTAGAAAATATTTTGTCTTTTTCAAAGACTTATAAATCAGTTTTTCATTTCTAAAATTATGTTTATAACACACAGAACAGATATATATGGCAATAAGCATTATATGAATAGAACTATCATGCTTATGTGTTTCTGTGTATATGCATATGTGAATTCTTTTTAAATTTGTCTACATCCCTCAGATGCTTCACTTAAAAATAGCCTTCAGGAATGGTTACTCTTCCTGGGACCCTGCCTCCCCACACCACCCCCTTCTCATTTGGTCCTAGGGTTAAGCTTGAGTGGTTTCAGCAGGAGTGCCTTGGAGGTGAACAAAAAGTGGGATGAGAAGTTAAAGGGAAGTCCAGACCTTCTTCCCCAGGAGTTTTTCTTCCCTCTTGTTCTGTTGCCCCTTTTCCCCCAGCCCCAGTGCAGATATCACCAGTAGTGGGCCCAGCCCTCATCCCATTTCCCCTCCACCCAAAGAGCCCTCCCCTAGCCCAGGGGATGAAATGACGAGTGCCCCAGGCTACTTCCTTCTGCTGTGTGGAAGGGTCCTGTGTGTACCCCAGCACCCTCTGTGATCTTCTAAGGCCTTTCCTTGTTCCCAAAGGGTCTAAGTGGAGAAGGAAAAGGATAAGGATGGAGGGTGATTGGAGAGAATATAGAAGGAAGCCCTCCCCTCTGCTGGTTTCCTTCTTCACTGGCAGTAAAGGCCCTTAGAAAAAAACTACAAGAAGGACCACGTGACAGCTTCATGTCTAGGAAGACAGGGGAAGAGGTTGGGAGCCCAGTTCCATTCTTGGAGGGCCACAGCAGAGGGGCTACTATGCTCATTGGTACAAGAGGTGGTGGAAGGAAAGCTGGGGGCTTATCTTTATTGCTCTAAGAAAATGAAGAGGTGGCTGGAATGCTGCTTACAAGGGTGTGCGATGGCAGAAGGCCCTGTTTGCCTCACAACCCTTTCCCTGCACATCCTCTTGGAGTCTCTTTCCTGCCTTTCACCCCAAACTGCATTCAGAATCTCGTTCCAGAAATTTAGCCCCACCCTCTCACCCCCAAGCCCTGAGCCCTGTCTCTGACTCTCTCACCTTCCCCAGCTCACTCGCTGTTGGAGCCACTGTACCAAATGCTTAATATCTATGATATTACTAGCGTAAGGTTTCAATATGATTTTAATAGGTGCTCTATTTCACTGAGTTCCAGTCAGAAGGGACCTTCTGAACATTATGGTTTAAATGGGTTATGGGCTAGCTCATGAAATGTGTTGTCATATACATCACTTCTATGGTGAAATGCCTTCTGCACTTCAAGCAACTGATATTCAAGGACAGTCTGTGCTGCCACCTCCTCCACCAGGTGTGATCCTGCCCCGGGGGGAGTAGGCAGGGGTGAGCTACATGGGGGAGCGGGCAGGGGTGAACTACGTGGGGGAGCGGGCAGGGGTGAACTACATGGGGGAGTGGGCAGGGGTGAGCTATGTGGGGGAGTGGGCAGGGGTGAGCTACGTGGGGGAGTGGGCAGGGGTGAGCTGTGTGGGGGAGTGGGCAGGGGTGAGCTATGTGGAGACAGAAACTTGCCTGGGCTGCAGAAGTTTGCTCAAATTACTGTGAGGCTGTGTGGCCTCAAAAGGAAGCCAGAGAAGGCTTTTGGGGTCTTTCTGCCACAGTGACTCTCAAGCCATGGGTTCTTTTCATTTGTCAGTACTGAGCAGCTTAGATCATTGCTCAGAGCAGCTAGATCAAGGCAGAAGTTTACGTTGCTAAAAGTGGTGATGATGGAGAAACAGGCAAACTCTGAGAAGGTCCCCTCTACTGGGCCCCCAACACCTGCCAGTACCAGAATATGGTTCCTTGAACTCCACACACACTGGTGACCCATCTCCCTGCCTGAAGGGGCCTCTCTCAAACTTCTGCCAGCATTAGAGATGTTCTAGGACTAATAACCTTTAAACGGCAGGGTTTCTCTGTGCAAAGCGGTTTGTTGAGTTAATGAAGTCATAGCATGCTTTTGGGAGCAGGAGCTTTGCAGCCAAGTAGTTCTTTGGTCTGATCCAGGGCTTTGCTGCTTACTGCCCATGGGACTTTGGTCAATTTACTTGGCATTCCTTCCTATGATTGTCTAATTTATAATGTGAGGATGATAACGCTAGCTCCTAAAGTTGTTGTGAAGATTGTGTGAGCTAATGTATTGATGTTTATTAACTTGGCACACTAAATGCTCAATATGTCATATCACTGTTATGGATGTGTTCGATTTTCCAAATCTCAAGCCCCCCTTCTCCTGCCATTTTCATGCTTATTTGGGGAACCTATGTTCAGGAACAGTAGAGTCCAGAACTTCCTCGCTACCCAGACTTACACTGTAAGGCAGATAAGCCAGATAGGAGATTGTGTAACTGCTTCAGAGCAGCCTCCAAAAGGAAAGCTTGGTCTTGGGTTGGATTTGATGTGATCAAGCCCAGCTCTTTGTGGCTAGTGTTTGTGTGTGTGTGTGTGTGTATGTGTGTGTGTGTGTGTTTGAGGTAGCGTCTTGCTCTGTTGCCCAGGCTGGAGTGCAATGGCGTGATCCTGGCTCACTGCAGCCTCTGCCTCTGGGTTCAAGTGATTCTCCTGCCTCAGCCTCCTGAGTAGCTGGGATTACAAGCACCTGCCACCACACCTGGCTAATTTTTGTATTTTTAGTCGAGACAGGACTTCACCATGTTGGCTAGGCTGGTCTGAAACTCCTGACCTCAGGCGATCCACCCACTTCGGCCTCCCAAAGCGCTGGGATTACAGGCGTGAGCCACCACGTATGTGGCTTATTTCTGACTCTGAACTTCACTGCTTGCCAGACAAACCAACTGTAGTTGAGAGGAAATTCACTTCCCCTTCTCTGGGCACCCTATCCTGAAACAACAGCTTGATGTGCTCTCAAAGAGGAACAGTAGGCTTTGAACTGCTGGTGCTCTCCAGCACTCCTCTCTACTGCTCTCAGGTCTGCCTTCTACAGCAATGCTGATTTCTTCACCCAGCTCCCCTCACCTGTAATGAAGTCCTCTGCTTCCAAATGGAAGATAGTTAAAATGTGACTCACCTGTAATACAATAAGCAAGCAAAGATCCATGATAATTCTGGGGCCTATTGCCTCTTATGTACAGGAGCTCCATCCTGACTGCTCTTCTAGAAGAGGCCCTACTTCACCTTGCTCACTGATGTCTCTTCAAATGGCAGCTGAGTTTGCTTTGTAATGTCGGTGGAGCCTCTTGACTCTCAGACTATCCTTTAGGGCTTGGAGTTGTGCAGGCAGGAAGAAGCTGAGAGGACATGCTTTGGGCATGGGAAAGAGAGTGGACATATGCAAGCCATAAAGGGTAATAAGGCAGCATTTGGGTATTTCTTGTAATAAAGTTCCTCTGCATTGCACGAACTGAAGTGCATAAAAACACTGCCTTTAGGTAGGGTAATTCATTATACAGTGGATAGGCAAACCATTCTCACAGAAATACAACATAGATTATATCCAGGGGATGAAAACAAGCACATTTTGATTCATCCCAAACTCAGAGCACTTTCACAAATCTTAAATAACTTAGAATATTTTCTAAGAAGGAGAAAGGTACGATACGTTCACTTTACTGATTGATAAGCCAGACACTACAAGGGCTGTCCGAGACCCCAAATTGGCCAGTTTATAAGGTCTCCTACCAGCACCCCAGACCTCTTCCTTTTTAGTTTAGTGGAACTAAACTAAAATACTCATAACATGAATTCATGTATTTGGATTTCCATTTTTATCATCACATTTATTTATCTGATTTCTCATTGGGTATTTTTCCTTCTCCTAACTTGAAGGAAAAGTTGACATACGTGTTTCCTACTTTTTCAGAGATGAAAACAAACGTCTAAATAATCATAAAAGTATTTCACTGGAGCTTATGATTTATTCTCCCAAAAGGTCAAATTTAGCATTGTTTTATTACCATTTTCCATTTTATACACTTTATCTCATTGCAGTTTTATCTTGATGAGGTTTTGGATTTTATCCACAGAACAGGGGGTGCAAAAGCAAGCCTGCAGGCGCAGTATGTGAAGATAAGCCCTTCGGAAAGATTTGTGAGCAATACAATGGAGTTATACACATCTTTGGAGGCTGACAATGGTCATTAAAGTGACCACTGGAATATTAAAGCATCATTTGTTATTAGAATAATAAGTTGTCTATGACTTATGATTTATTATATATTTTCAGGTTGAAACACAACTTTCAACTCTTGCTTTATTTTAAAATGTGTGACACAACGTATAGTGGAATAAAGCAAAATGCTGAGGTAAAAATAAACTTGCAAATAATGCTCTAGAAATTTTAAACAATAGTTTCACTTCCCTTTCTTCTGCATTTCACTAGCTAATATCTGAAGTAATAAATTTTACATGAATATCTGAACTGCCATTAAATAATGAAGGCAAACTAACAGCAGTGCAGCTAATTTCTCAAGAGTTTTGCTACCAAAGGTAAAAGACAAGTAAAAGAAATGTAACGCCGCCACTCCCCAACCCAGGAAAATGGCTATAAAGTATGCTTTTTAATATTTTAAAGGGGCTCCTAGGGAAAGAATGTATGGAATACATACCGTGGTGTCCTTCCTGAGAGGGGTTTTCGGGTAGCTCTGAAGAGGATGTAACTGGTAATAACGGAGAACATCCCCCACATAGACAGAAACCGCCACCAGTATAGTTTTATCGTGAAATATAAGGGGACAATCCACATCTGCAACAAGGTCACCAGCTGTCATAGAAATGAACAGAAAATCTCTTTCAATGGCCCAAGTGCCTGAATGGCATCTCCATTATTAAATGAGTCCGAAGCATCTCTGGGAGAACCACCTTCACCATCATGTCTGTACCATGCAACTGCTTTACCATCAAACTGTAAGCTTCCTTAGACAGGCCAGGCCATGGAAAGTATGGACACAATTACCTGAAAATTCCAATGGGAAACAATCCAAAATCCCTGCCTTCTGTCACTTCCTTTCGTCTGTTTTAGATGGGGCCTCCACAGAGATGTGATTTTGGACAAGGGAGCCTCACTTTAGTTGTATAATTGGGGGTACCGATGCTTGCACTGCTTCCCTGCACTGACTGAGGCGGGGTTCAAACAAGATCAGGAATGGAAAGCACTCTGAAAACCATACTGCACTACACAGAGCCCAGGGGCTTTGTTTCTGTCATGTGCTCATATGAAAGTGACAGCAATGTCAAAGGAGGAAGTGGAGGTCAGAGTTTCAGAGAAGCGCCTGGGATGTCTTCTGCCTGCAGTCCCTGGGCACTCTGCAAGGTTTCCTGTTCATTTGGTGCATAAATCCTTTGTGACCTATGCCATTGACCTGAGTCCAAGTAGCCTTCAGAGGGTCCTTTAATCTGGTCTCATTCCCATAGGTCAGGGAGCAGGGCAGAGTGAACTGTCTCTGGGTCACTGATGTGATATGGTTACCATAGCTACACTCTTACTTTTCAAACCAAGCCTAATACCAGCTAGTCAATCCTCCTGGGAAAAGCAGACAGCTTTAATCAATAGCAATATCCTTTGGTCTTTTATGTTTTCTCGCATTCAGACTAACCACCTGTTATTTGCTCAGAATGAATATAAGGGGAATGGCAAAGAGGTTTTTGTTTCAAGGGTGTACGTTAACTAAGTTTTAGTGACAGCCTGCAGTGCTTTGTTGAAGATTCTGAGTCTGGATCCTGGTTTAGTGGTAGAGTCTTATGATCAGTTATGAAGTCTGCCAGCAATGTGGCAAGAGTGGTTAGAGCTTGCTTATCGCATATTCATCATTCTGAGTATTAAAAAGGCTGCTGCCATTTGTTTTCTTTACCTTCTCAATCTTCGCAATAGAAAAGGGAGGCTTAGAACAAAAGATCTTTGGATATATTGTTGGATCCTTTAAATAGGTCTTGGTGATAATAGTCTAAGGTCAATAACCAAAGCTCTTGGACAGGACTTCAAGATAGAAATGAGAAAGGCAAGGCCACAGCCATTCTTCTTTCAGTGTCAGATAAGAAGACATTTCCCAGGCTCATCATTCTCCTTTGATTGCTCCATCCTCATAAATGATCTGAAGTCTTCTTAGAATTGCTCTGAATCTTCTTTCAGAGAACCCTAGAGTTGTTATCATAGATATGCACTTGAACAAAAACATACACGGAGCAAGTCTGAGGTGAGTATCTGAGGAGTTCGGGAGCAAATCCTATAACTTACATTTTTTTTTTTTTTTTTTAACTTCAAGGAATACTTTCAGGGGAAAAAAAGCCTCTTTACTGTTGCCTCCATTTATCAGATAACTGCTTTAATTTTCCATCCTACTTTGTGGGTGTGGAAAATGAATGAGTTAGGACCTTTATGAAACTGATATAAATACACGTACACACATAGGAAAAACAAGCTTTACTTAAGGAAGTAAAATAGTTTTTAAGAGGACCCAAAACCACATGCTAAGTAACCAAGACTCAAGATGTGCTTACTTAAGCATTCAGCAACTTTGACCCTCTGCTATTGACAGTAAAAGTATGCAGCACCATGGCCAGGTGTGGTGGCTCATGCCTGTAATCCCAGCACTTTGGGAGGCTGGGGTGGATGGATTTCTTGAGCTCAGGAGCTTGAGACCAGCCTGGGCAACATGGCCAAACCCTGTCTCTACAAAAATTAGCCAGGCATGGTGGTACATGCCTGTAGTCCCAGCTACTCAGGAGGCTAAGGTAGGAGGACCACCTGAGCCCCTGAGGTCGAGGCTGCAGTGAGTTGGGATCGTGCCACTGCACTGGGTGACAGAGTTAGACCCTGTCTTAAAAAAAAGTGTGTAGCCCCTTAACAAAAATCTCATCAGCATATTGGTCATTTATTTTCTGTAGCTGATTTTGGAGATAGTTCTCTATCATAAATTATGCGTTTGCTGACTTAAAAGTTCACTTCTGGTGAACTTTTAAAGAAGGAAATGGACATGAACTTCATCTTTCAAAGTCTGATCATCTGTTATTTGCATTTTTCATCTATTTTAAGAATTTGATTCATTTTTACATTTTCCCATAAAAATCCTGGAGTTTTTTAAAATAAAAACTTGAGTTGGTTCATTTTAATTCAGTGGAACTATTATGCTCTTATTTTTGTACTTTAGATCTAAACCAAAATATAAGACTAATCAATTTCTTCTAATCCATGGAGTTACAATCCATGATAGTTTGGAGCTATAGCTGGACTATATTTTAATAAAACCAGTTCTCTTCCTATAGATCTATAAGTATGGAAAATTTCTAGAAGACGTCAAATTTCTCTTGATGCCTAGATTTAATTAATAGTGAATAACAATATTCAATGCACAGACATGTTACTTTTAAAAATAGACTTTGGAGATCAAAAAGGAAAAGAAAGCAAAAAATCATTAGAATGTATTATGTATGCAAATATTTTATTTCTTAACTATCTTTAAAATGTAACCCAGCACCATATTTTCTCAATATATGAAGGGAAAGTTCAGAAATTTGCTCTGTGAATTCAATGATTGCATGGGTAGTCATTTTGAAATGAGAGACACATTTCATATCAATTTAAAAGATTCTTTAACAATTTCCAGAGTAGTTAAAAGTTCTCATTTTAAATAGTAACTGCCATATATGAAATGTAGGAATGCTGTCCCTCATAAATAAACACATGAAATACGTGAAATTGAGGCACATACATGCAAAGAAGGAAGCCTGGCATCTGGAACTCATTAATAATGCCACAGGGGTCACCATCTGGGCATGTGTGTATGAAACACATCTGCACTACTGGCAACGGGTAGCTCATGCATCTGGATCACATCACTCACATTCTCCCCAACCACATATCATAGCAGGAGGAATTTCCTGATGAATCAGATGCTGCCCAAAAGTACCATGTTTTTTTTGGGTTGGCCATGCACATAATGAATCTGAAAAGAATTACAGATCAAGCCAAAACAAAGATACCTTTCATTTGTCTAATTGTACAGAATGATGAATGGGCCGTGCAATATTAAAAGAAAGAAGGAAAGAGAGAGAAAGAAAGAAAGGAAAAAAGAGAGAGAGACAGAGGGAGGGAGGGAGGAAGGAAGGAAGGAAAGGAAGGAAGGAAGGAAGGAAGGAAGGAAGGAAGGAAGGAAGGAAGAAAGGAAGAAAACAAGGAAAAAAAAAATAAATTATGTGTGTTCATTTCCTTTGCACTGCAAATCCCAAACTATCTGCAATCATTTGTGTGTGGAGGGTGGTGGGATGGTGGAGGGAGGGCAGAGGTGTGCTCAGAGGTAAGCAGAAAATTGTCATAAAAATAAACAGGAAACAATGCTGCTATCAGTAAAAGCCAATGAAGGAGAGTGTGAATATAAAGCAAGTAGGAAGAAAGTAAGGGCTGGCACGTGGTGACTCATGCCTGTAATCTAGGACTTTGGGAGGCCGAGAGGGGTGGATCAGTTGAGGCCAGAAGTTTGAGACCAGCCTGGGCAACATGGTGAAAGCCCATCTCTACCAAAAATACAAGAATTAGCTGGGTGAGGTGGCACATGCCTGGAATCCCAGCTACTTGGGTGGCTGAGGTGTGAGAGTTGTTTGAACCTGGGAAGCGGAGGTTGCAGTGGGCCAACATTGTGCCACTGCACTCCAGCCTGGCCAACAGAGTAAGACTCTGTCTCAAAGAAAAAGAAGAAGAAAGTATGGAAATGGAATGTTGGCATACAAAGATTCCTTAGATTTTCAGTTGGTTCACTTTTTTAATCTCCACATAAATCTGGATGGCTGATTTTGTTATTTAAACTTTTAAAGGAGATTCTGCAATGTTATGTACATATGTATTTAAGTATGTATATATTTTTGTCTTGCCTCATTTTAAAAAGATTTGAACAGACACAATGCTTTATTGGCCCAGTAATATTTTCTAGTATTTCATAGCTATTAATAGGCAGGAAGTTTGATTTAAATAGAGCAATGCTTCAATCTGGAAAATTATTTGCACTGTATTGAGGCAAGTTAATAGTGTGTCTGAAACCCAAGTTCTGGGGATGTAGTCATCAGGCCTTCTACTGATTTGTGGAGTAAGAGAAGGATTCTTTTTTGGCACTCTCCTGTCTACCTGCTGCAGATATGGAAAGTAACTGCACATAAAAGAAGGTGGAGAGGGTGATGTTGAATGAAATTTTATTTCCAGTTAAATGCTGTTCAAAGCATTTGGAAATGATTTAACTTTGAGGCTTTGCCTACATCTATAACATATCAAGATTACCAGCTGGAAAGGGAAAAATTCAAATACCCAGATGCTTGGACTATGCTGTGCTAAAAACGTGACTATTTGAAAACACCCAGGTATTTATAGTATCCCACATAAAATAAGAATTTTCTACCTTATTTCCACTTTTGACATCACATAGGAGCCGTTAACATATTTCTATACTTTATTTTCTAAATAAACCATTTCTTTTGCTTTAGGTATTTATAATAAGCTGCTCTGATGTACACAGCTCCTACAGACCACAGAACATAATCTGTCTACACAAATTTAAAGGACCACTTCAGAAGACGGGCATACTTGTTAAAAAGTTGTATCTGAAAATATTCTGAGCTTTTTGAATTAGTCCATGTCCTCTTTAAGTACATGATCTGAATGATGCATAAAAGAATGTGAAAATAATAATCCTTTATAATAAATAATACCTTCAGGGTAAAAATAATATGCATAAATAATAATACATTAAGTGTACAAAGCTTTTACACATATTACTATAA